TTAATGAATACTTGCCTGAATGGACATTATTCACCTAGTGATTACTTGGGAAACATCAGTGGGTAGAAAGAGTATAGTTTACCCCTCCCTGATAAAGATAATTACAGAATTATCCATTGGAACATCACTAAACAAATAGCATGTTTTTTGATGACACAAAGGTGATAGAGAAATTGATGTTTTTGAGGAGTTATCATTCAATATGATCTTGACAAGCTAGAGAAATAATATATAATAACACCAATTTCTTAAACACAACAATGAATAGTGTACTTAATAAATACAAGCTAGAGTACATACAGAAAGGTATTGGTGAGGCCAAAAATACCTAAGTCTTGTGGCAAATAATAAACTGAAGGTGTCCCAGATGTTTTTAAAATACCTTGACTGCTGGCATGATAGTCAGTTGTCCATCCATTCAACAACTCAATTGGGTATCTAATGTGTGTGAGGCATCACGCTAGGCATGCTGGGGACAAAGTGAAAAATTAGCAATGTCTTTTTTTCTCCATCAGCTCAAGTTTTAAGGGAGAAGACAAAGAAGCACACAAACTATTATTAGATAACAGAGAGACAGCTTATTCGACGGCTGAGTCACCAGTCAGTGAAAGTAATCACCGTGAAGGGCATCTTTGTAGCCCACCGGCACAGCTGTGCTCAGCGGATGGCAGAGGACCAGGACTCAAGAGTGGCTGGACAGAAGCGTCAACACTGATGGGTGCAGACTGATGGCCAGAAGGTACTTTGCCCCTAATTTTTCAGGACCACATAACTGCCGGGACTCTTGTAGGATATAATTCAAGGGAGTAAAAATCCCAATGACGCCTGCTACCAGTTGTGCCAGCCCTTGACAAGTAGGAGTCTCAGCCAAATATAATTTCATTTAAGCAATTAAGAAAGGTGACATTTCTTGCACTCAAGTGTCATGGAGCAATTTAAACCAGTTAAAGAATGCCTGAATTGATTTGAAAATTAGAGAACACATCTACCCTCATGAATATGTTTGTAGATGCTTGGAGGTCTTTAACCTCCAAGATGAATAAACTACTGTAAGAAGTGAATAATGCCTTTGGAATTGTGCAACAAATCAGTCTTTCCTGCTATCATGAGTGAAGCTAGCCTGAGTACAAACTAAACATATCGAGGAGGGCAGCAACAAGAGACTATAGAAAATGAACTAGAGTCTGATAAAAAAACAAAAGCTCACAGAGACCTTACTCACACCTCACAGAGTTCCCTTCTGCATCATTAGAAAACTCACAGGGAAGAACTCAAATTAACCCAGCCTGGTCATATGCCCATCTCTGTGGCTGGAGGAGTAAAGTACCATGATTCATAGTCACCAGTGGGGGAGGAGCAACTTCTAAAAAGCAGGAAGAAAAAGTGCTGGCTTGACAAAAAACACAGAGGGTAAACTACTTGGACAACTAGATTTCTGTAAGTCAAGCTGCCATGTGCAAAAAGCTTCAATAAACATTTCCAAGGTCAAATGGGATGTGCTGGTCGGCCTAGTGCTCTGCAGTATTTCAAGGGTAGACTTGGGTAACTAGCACAAGAGTGTTGATGTAGTTTCCTTTAGAAAGATCTGAAGATGCCATTTGGAGAAAGAAAGTGGTGGCCTGTCACCTTTGGTACCCTTAGATCTACAAATAGATTGTCAAGTCTTTTGAGCAAAGTGCCTTGATTCAATAGTATTGTTACTACCACCAAAACCTCATTTCTAAGCAACATGCTATTGTACAAAATATGAAGATTAATAATGCATAAAAGAAAAAAATGGGACTCTTTGAAGCAATATCAATGCATCAAAATGCTTGAATGGTTCAGTGGTGGTGCACAGACTTACCTGTTAGAAGGTCAGTGTTATATACACTTGGTAGCAGAGAAAAACCAGGGAAGTGAGAATAAAACAGAATTAAAAAAAAAATTCCCATCAATTATCAAAATTCCCCTAAGGAAATTTAGGGACTTTAAAATTTCTAACTCTAGCTTCTTTTCTGACCTTAGGTATTTTTGGTGCATGAAATTCATGCATGGGGTGGGGGAAGGGGTCCCCTTCAGCCCAGCCTGAACCCTCTCCAATCCAGGACCCCTAGGAAGATGTCTGACTGCAGGTTTAGGCCCTGTGGCATCGGGCCTAAACTGGAAATCGGACATCTCTCTCATAATCTGGGACCACTGGCTCCTAACTGCTCACCTGCCTGACTGCCTGATCACTACTAACTTCCCCCCCTGCCAGCCTGGTTGCCCCTCACTGCCCCCGTTTGCTGGTCTGGTCACCCCTCACTGCCCTCCCCCTCTGGCCTGGTTGCTCCTAATGCCTCTCCCCCCCCCCTGCCACCTGGTGACCCCACGCAGCCTGCTGTTTGGTCATTTGGTTGCCCCTCACTGCCCCTCTTCCTTGCTGGCCTGGTCTTCCCACACAGCCTGTTTGGTCATTTCGGTGCGATGGTTGCTTAGGCTTTTATATAGAGATTTTTTAAATTGTTACCTTAGGATACATTTTTATTGATTTTAGAGAGAGAGGGAGAGAGAGAAGGCGAGAGAGAAACATTGATATGAGAGAAACATGAATAGGTTTCTCTTACACACTCCCATATACACTCTAATTAGAGATCGAATCTGCAACCTGGGTATGTGCCCTGACTGGGAATGGAGCCTGAGACCTTTCAGTATAAGAAAGGATGCTCCAACCAACTGAGCCACACCAGCCAGGGCTTTTTAAAAAGATTTTTTCTATTAATTTTTTTTCAGAAAGAGAGGAAGGAAGAGGGAGAGAGAAAAATCCACCAGCTGCTTCAGCACGTGCCCTGACTGGGGATCAAACCCCAAATTTGTATATATGCTCTGACTGGGAATTGAACCCAAGAGGCTTGGGTGCATGGAGGGATCTTTTAGCCAATGGAGTCACAAGGGCCAGGGCAGTGTGTTCTTATTCACATAAAAAGAGAATACCAACAGTTACATGCAGATGGTGGGACTAAAAGTTACTTTAATCAGCACACATTTTATAAAAAAGATCCCACTGATCTTTGCAGATTTTTTTTCTTTTCCAGAATAAAGATGAACATGTAGAACTGAGTTGTCCACTCTTGTTCAGCCTTGGCTCAGGCAATGTTCAAAGACTTGCCCAAGAACTGGCTGGGGCAGGTAGGGTCCACTTGGGGCAGAGGTCAGAAACTATCTCGTTAGGCAGCAGAAATTGAGACTTTTGACCTCCTTAGAGCTTTGTTCCCATCCAGTGGGCTATAGGGATTAGACTTGAGATTGGCAGCAACCTTCTGGGTACTATATGATCAATAGGTGTGAATTAATACATTTCATCTTCTTTCCATGTAGGTGAAAGTCAACATGAGGGCCAACTATTGATAAATCTTCCTTCATGTCAAGCCTCAGAATGAAATATCACTGTCATTGTACATGAAGATACAAAGATGTGTTTTATAAAAGCCTGCTGTCTTGTTCAAATAACTGTCCATGTTTTCTTTCTTATTCCACTAATGGTTGAGTCCACTGGTTCCCTTAATAACCTCATATGACCTACCAGAAGTTGTTTCCTTAGATCTAAGGTAAATGCCTAGGCAAGTTTCTCAGATATTTTGGCCTCAGGACCCCTTTATCCTCTTAAAAATTGAGGACCCTAAAGAGTTTTTGTTCATGTGGGTCTTATCTGATAGTATTTGACATATTAGAATTAAAACTGAGAAGGAAAAAGAAGAGATGAGAGACAGAGAGCCCTGACTGGGTGGAGCTTCTGGTCCAGACCTCCTCAGCTGTTTATTTGTCCTTCACCTTTACCTGAGCCAGTAAACACGCCTTTCTGGAGAACCTGGTCTGATGGAGTTTCTGCTACTAGAGAATGAAAGATACCTGAATGGTAGCACATCCACAAAAACAAAAAATAGTCTAAGATAGTAAATAAAAGATTAATTGGGTATGACAGAATGTTACTTCCCCCCTTCATTTGTCATCCATTGAGTGAGGGCCTGTCTTCTGAGGGCTAAAGGGAACATCACTACTAACATTTGTACAAGGCCTTGTGGATTTCCAAGTGTTTTCACATTCAGTATCATTTAATTTTTCCCACAAGCATATATGAAAGTTTGTTTTATACCCATTCTACAGATGAGAAAAACAAGGCTCAGAGAGCCTGTGTGCAATTAATCAGCAAGACAAAATCCAAATCATAGGTTTTAGATTCCCATGGTCATAATTCCTGCTTTGCATGATGCTTGTAATTTTTAAGGACATAGACCTATAGCACAATCCTATTATGTTCAATTTCAAGTTTTTTATTTTTTATTTTTTTTTATCCATCCTGCAGCGGGGAGAGGGGAGTGATCTGCATAGCAGATCCTCTACCCATCGTATTTGGCTTTGGTCTGGAAATCTGAAGAAGAGAACATGAGTGTGGTTCAAGTTAGAATGGCAATCATTCTTTTCCAGCTCTGTAATTGAAGGGCTGCGGGAGGGGGCTTAGAGGTTGTGCAGGGCAGGAACTGGAGGAGAAGCCAGATAATGCACTGCAGATAATCCACAGGCTGTGCCATAGCGGCGATAAGGAAAGAAAGCATTTTAGCTCTGAGTCCTGGCGGCAGAGCTGCAGGAACCGCGGGATTCAGATTCCGAGGTCCTGGATTTGAAAGCCGCCCACACACAAAGAAGTTGAGTACCCGATAATGCACTGCAGATAATCCACAGGCGCGGTACGCAGAGTGCGAAACTGAGCCTCCCTTCCTAACTTGGACGGAAACGCCTCGTCCACCGGGGCGCCCCTCCCAAAGCGGACCTTCTTTTATCCTGCGGGGCAGTCCGCACAACCAGCAGCCAGACACGCCAGGCACGCCCGAAGCTTCTCAAAGGAACTACAAGTCCCATGAAGCCCTGGGTTTCGGGGCGGTGATGACAAAGCCGCCGCGGATTGGCCAGGCGGGGCGGGGCGCGCAGGCCTTCTCCGAGGGAAGGGGCGGGGCTAGGGGCGGGGCGCGCGGCGGCTGGGCGGGCACGCCCCCTCGCCGCGGCCCCCTCTCCGCCTCGCTCCGCCGCCGCTCTCGCTCCCGGGTCAGACGGGCCGGAGCGAGAAGATGGCGAAGACGTACGATTATCTGTTCAAGCTGCTGCTGATCGGCGACTCGGGGGTGGGCAAGACCTGCCTCCTTTTCCGCTTTTCGGAGGACGCCTTTAACACCACCTTCATCTCCACCATCGGTGAGGGAGGGGCCGCAGCCGGGGACGGGGAGTGAGAAACCGGGGGCGAGGGCGAGGGGGCCTGGAGCGGGGAAGGGGGAAGGCTTGGGGGCCCCCGGGAGAGGACCCCCCTCCCCCCCCCGGGGACGGCGGGACGGCGAGGGCAGTGGGAGAGCGGAAAGGGGCGGGCGGAGATGCGAGGCTGGGAGGTGAAGGGGAAACTTGGGGGCAAAGAAAGGCAAAGGGGAACCAATGGAACAAGGACTCAAGGGTGGTGGGGGAAACGAGCGGGTTGGCGGGTGACTGGGGAGGGTGTTAGGGGGACAAAGTGTGTGTGTGTGTGTGTGTGTGTGTGTGTGTGTGTGTGTGTGTAACACAAGACATCTCACGGGGAGAGAGAAAGGGATAGTGGGTGTGAATTGGATTAGAAGACAGGAAAGAGGAAGGAAATGTGAAGGGGAAATGAAGGGTTGGGGGAAGTATAGGAAGAGAAAGACTCGGGGCAAGAACGGTGCGAGTCCCGCGGCGGGAGGGGATGCAGGGGAGTGAGTGGTCAGGAGCGGAGGGGCAGGGCGCGGGGGTCCGGGCGGAGATGTCCTGGCCGGGGCAGAAGGAAACTGGGGGGTAGGAATAGCAGGGTTCAGGGGACCAGAGGACAGATTGGGGGTACGTGGCGGGGAAAGTGAAGAGGAGCTGGTGGGAGAGAAAAAGGGGGGAAGGAGGCTGGGCACTCAGCAGAGAGATTGAGCTGCGAAGACAGAGGAGGTGGGAAAGGGGGAGGAGAGTGGGGGAGAAAGCAGGACTTTCTTCAGGAACCGGGAGCACTGTTAGCATTTTCTGTCCTCACTTCCTCTGGATCAAGTGCAGGGAAAAGAGAAAAAGTGACTAATGATAGGATGAGGTCTACAGAGCATTTCAGTGCTGTGCCAGTGCTAACGGGCATGAAGAGAATGGGTGACTTTGGGGAACGGTGTGGTCAGGAAACTATGCGTCCTGTACTACTATCTCCTGAAAAGCAGCACTTGTCAATTTTTAAATTCTTGGGCTTGCATGTTTAGTAACTTCTCAGCTGCGGATTCTGCCTGGGTCCCTGTATATTTTGCTCTGAATCACCACAAGCAACCTACCCCTGGTTATTTTCAGTTGATTCAGGGTTGGTTTTTGTTTTGTTTTGTTTTTTCCTGATCTGGGGCTGGCAGCTGTCCTTCCAACTTTTGTACTGGAAGACTTTGTGTTCAGGTAACAAGTTCTCTTAACTTACTGTGCACCGAAGAGCAAATCAAAGCTGGTTTTAAGCTGCCTAACCAAGTGACCTTAACACCCTTTTCCTTGTTAAATAGCTGCAGTTAATTAAGTGCCTTAAGTATCTTAACTTTGGTTGTCTGGATGATGCTTGTGGCTTCTAAGAGTAGCTCCCTTAAGCGTCTTTCAAGTGAATTCTTACAGCACATTTTACCATGAATTTCTGGGATTACTGGGGGCTAGTGCTATGGAGTATTATTTGATTATTTGTATGTTTTAAGGATAATTTATTATTATTTTTCTTTTTTAAAAAAAGCATAATTGGGTATAGAGCGCTCTTCAAATCAAGTACCAGGCAAAGCTATGTGGTTGGCTGGTTGGTTCTGGCCTCTTTCATAGGAATTGAGTGGTCTGAAACCTCCCGGGTGTAATGATGTCTGGGCTTAGGGAAGTTTGAGTTGCAAGTTCTTGGCAGTCAGTCTTGAGTGGGACTTTTTCTTTTCTGAGGAAGCAGATTTTAAAATGTCACGTCTCAAGTATATTTCCGAGAGATTTGGTTGGAGCTGTTACAGCAACGAAAGGGCGTTAATTTTGATGCTGGTACTAATTTCAAAACCTAGAGTGGCCTTTTTACATTGTTGAGTGCATGCTGCAGTCTAGTTGGTAAAGGACAATTTCTGACAAGTTGAGTGGACAGTCTTTTGTCCATTCTATGCTTCACGCTCCCAGAAGCAGTCTCCTGCTTTGAAAGTGAGTCCCTTGGATGCTATTTCTTTTATGCTCCTTGGATGACCTTTGCTTATTTATAATAGTTTTATTAGTCCCCCCCCCTTTTTTTTTTGCCTTATTTTTTGTCCCACATTTCCTATAAGGGTGACTACTTCCTTTTGGTCTGTTAAAATACTAGCTTTTAAAAATCACTTTTCATTCTAAAGGATTAGGATTCTTTTTGTGTAGATTTTTTTTAATGATTGCAATTCAGTTCAATGGAGGGCCACAGCTATTAAGGCATGAAAAACAGTGTCCTGACGCTGTTTGGAACAGGTGGTAAGACAGATAAATGGGGTGAATCTCATGAATAATCTTAGTCTTTGTATTTTCTGTGGGGTGGATGTGGTAAAGAGAGATGATGAGCTGTGTCTTCGGTTGACATGGAGGAGGGGAAAATCTTCCCTGCCTCTACTTATCTCCCCCAACCCCACCCCAGAGCCCCAACAGGAAGTGGTAGCACACTGTCTTCAAACAGTACAAGAGTTTATAAACCTGAAACCCAATGCTTTGCAATTGAAATGAAGGTAGCAAAATAAGGTGACTGTTAATACCATCGTAGTAAACATTTCCACAATCATGGGTTTGGAGCGTCCACATCCCTAATAGCAAAATCCCACTACTCGCTCAGCACCCCCATCCCACTCCCAGGTGATAGGAAGTTGTTGAAGTGGGAGTTGGTGGTTCATCTCCTCCCAGTCCTAGGTATTTCTTGATGTTCCTAGGTGCGTAAGTTCTTGTATTATTGTAACTGGGCTTTGACAAGGTCTGCCAGCCACCGCGTTGCTGGCAAACCCTGATAAGGTCTACGTCACAGGAAAGACGCATTTCTTAACGCCTGGGGTTTGTGTGCGTGTGGCTTGGGAGATAGGTATACCTTGTGCCTGTTTCTTCTAAAGAGGGGACATTTTAAGACTTAGTTTTGGTCTGACCAAGTTTAAGTAGTTTTCAAAAGGGCCTCTTGCCATCTTTAGACACTTTTCATGAGGCATCTGCCATCAGGAGAGGAAGGCGACAATTATTCATTTTCATAGTAGTTGTCGCCCAGATACTTTTCCTTACTTCTCTAAGGCCCTGCTATTCTCTCAGCTGTCCTGGCTCCCCTCATTTCCTTTTTGCTCTTTGGGTGGTGGAGGGTATGTTTTCTTTCAACTGACTTACTGGGAATCTTCCAGCCTATCAGTCAGATAATATTTGTCAACTATTGAGTAAGATTGTTTCACCCATTTGAAATGATAGGCCCAGTGCCTAGGAGCAGGTAGCTTTCAGTTCAAATATTTGAGAATTGAAAAAGGTTTTTTAATTGGCTTCCCAAACCTCTTACATAATCATAATTAATGCTTAATTAAATGTCTATAAAATGTAACATTAAGACAACCAGGAAATGGATATACAGTTAGCTATGTGTTATATTTCCTCCAGGATGTGGGTGCATTTTAATATTGAAAGAGGGCACATGGACATATTGGGATGACCTGCACTGAATAAGGTGCTAGTAGAAGAAAAAGAAAACCAGATCCTGTTCTCTAACAAGACAATCTAAGCTTCTTCCCTTTGCTTTCTTTCCTCCAGCCTGCCCCCAGCCCTCACCGAGCCCCACCCCCACACCCCCACCCCGTCTTCCGGTTAGGGTATTTCCTGAGTGGTTTCATTTTAGTATAGACATAGTTTGACAGCAGAAAAAGTCTTAGAGATTATCTACTTTATGCCCCTGCCCCAATTTTATAAATAAGAAAATGAAGGTTAAGTTGACATTGTCAAGTTCACAGCTGGTTGTAACAGAGCCTCCAGAGCACTCCAAATCCAAGTCTGTGTCACTTTTCACAGTCAAGCTGCTGCTATATCTAATCAGTATGACCATCTCCATAAATTTGTCACCACCTTTTCTAGGAAGAAATTAGATTTTGCTGCTTTATGGGGAGAAAGTTAAATATTCCCACTTTGATTAACCAGATCTGTTCCTGGAAATAGTAAATGCCCATACAGTGGTTCAGAGTGCTACAGGAGTGCATACAGGGACAGCTCAGCATCCTGGAGCTGCCCTTTGCTCTGTCTGTGGTTTCAGGTTAGGAGATCAAAGGGCACCCTGTCATTAAAATTCCTTCCATGTGCAAAATAACTAATGCAATCATATTAATAAGGGGATGCTGCCAGTTGTTGCTGCCTTCTCTCACCAGAGCACTTTTCTTCTGTAACATTGCATTTTTTTTTTTCTTGGATTCAGTTTCCTCAAAATCAGGGGTTGACAAACTTGCCCATAGGCCAATGTGGCCTGCAGCCTGTTTTTTTGCAGCCCACAATCAGAGTAGATTTTTACAGTATTAAAGGGTTATTAAAAAAAAAATCAAGCAAAACAAAGACTACCATATGTGTTCCACAAAGCTTAAAAATATTTACTCTAAATATAAAACGTTTGCTGACCCCAACTTTATTAAAAACTGTTTTTCATTGGTAGCAATTCAAAGCTTTTATCAAGACTTATTGACTGAAAAAACAAACTTTGTCATGTTTACATTTTTAGCCAAGATGATATCAACATTTGGCTGAGCGTAGTCCAGATATGTAGAGCAAGTTGATTTTAATTTTTATAGTTGTTTTCATTCGTTTCATCCTCGCAAACAAAAATATGCACAGAACATTCAACTTCAAACTGAACATTTTGTACATGAAGCCTCATTTCAATGTCATGTGTTCTTTCAAAGCTGTCAGTAGACTTCCTATCTTTTTCAGAAAAATGTAGAATTTCATACTTGGTCGTAAAGGGTTAAACTCATCTCCTCTGTTTGTGTCCTAGCAAATGAAAAAAAAAAAAAAAAAAAAAAAAGCCACCCAAAAATTAAGGAGGAGAGCAGGGAAAGTGTGTCCTGGCTACAGATTTTGATATGTCTTAAGCATAAGTGTACTTTCATAAAGAACTTGGCCAGCTGTTCTGCATGGCAGCAAATCAGGGAGGAGGAGATTCTCTTGGCAACAGCACCAAGATTATTTGGATCCACTGAGAAAAGCTGGAG